GTGGAGCTCTGGAAACTGAACATTGGTCGGGCGGAGGAGGGGGAGGGGAGGGGAGGGGGGAGGACCCGGCCGGAGACGGAGAGATATTTACAGGTACATATATATATAATATATATAGTATATATATATATATATATATATATATATATATACATATACATACACACACACACACACACACACACACACACACACACACATACATATATATATATGTGTGTGTGTGTTGTACTGTAATATATGTAATATATGTAAATATATATACATATATTCATATATATATATATAGATATAGATATAGTATGCATGTATGTATGTATAAACACACAGGTACATGCATGAATATACGGACACACATCTTTATAAATTAGGCACGAAGATCTGTATCACTGCCTGGATGTGCAGCTAAGCGACACGCGTATAAAAATGAGTAACACAGAAAACAACAAAAACAAAAGGAAAATAAGCAGAAGCGAAAAGAACAGACAGGAGGGATGGAGAAAAAAAATTCCCCAAGCATGTTCGCACGACATTTAAACGCACGCACGCACGCACGCACGCACGCACACGCACCCGTTCGCCCAATATTAAAAACACCCAATAAATTCTGCGGTGACAAAGGGAACTGCATTTTAAGCTGATGCAAAAGAGGTACAGGAGAGGTCAGTTGTTAAAAGAAAAAGAAAAAAATAGAAAAAGAGAGAAAAAAGGTACGTCAGTAGAGAATTAAGAGATTGGATGTGACCTCTCTCTCTCTCTCTCTCTCTCTCTCTCTCTCTCTCTCTCTCTCTCTCTCTCTCTCTCTCTCTCTCTCTCTCTCTCTCTCCTCTCCCTCTCCCTCTCCCTCTCCCTCTCCCTCTCCCTCTCTCTTCCCTTCCCTCATCCTTCTTCCCTCCCTTACTCCTTCCATTCCCCTTCCTCATTCCCTCCATCTCCCTCCCCCCCATCCTCCTTCCTCCCTTTCTCTTCTCCCATCCTTCTCCCCCTTTCTCCCTCCCCCATCCACCTTTTCCCCCTTTCTCCCTCTTCCATCCTCCTCCTTCCCTCTCTTTCTCCCTCCCCCCATCCTCCTTCCATCTCCTTCCCTCCTCCTCTCTCTCTTTCCCTCCCTCCCTCCCTCCCTCCTCCCCCTCTCTATCTCTCTCCTCTTTCTCTCCTTAAGGATGAAAAAGAGAGGTGATTACGACCGCTAATTGGGGGCAGTTAGTGAGGTTAATGAGTGCACTTATAACAGGGGAAAAGTATGGGCTCTTAAGCATGGAGAGGGTGAAGGTGGCGCTGCAGAAGGGGTGTTGTTGCCTGGCTTGGGTGTTGTACTGCAGTTGTTGGGTGAGGCTTTCTCTCGCTCGCGTTGTTGTGGTTGTGATAAGTTTTTTTTTTCTTTTCTTTCTTTCTTTTTTTTCTTTTTTTTTTCCTTCTTTCTTTTTCTTTTCTTTTCTTTCTTTCTTTTCTTTTCTTTCTTTTCTTTTTTTTCTTTTTCTTTTCTTTTCTTTCTTTTCTTTTTTTTTTATTCCGTTGCTATAGGGAGTTTTATGTAGTGCGTCAGTGTGTAAGAGGTATATATATATGTGTGTTTATGTGTGGGATAGGTTTACGTGTTCGTGAGTGTTTATGTGTTGTGGAATGTGTGTGTCTGTTCGTGTGTGTGTGTGTGGTGTGAGAGAGAGAGAGAGTGTGTAAGTGTTGTGGAGTGTGTGTGTGTGTGTGGTGTAAGTGTGTGTATGTGTGTGTGTGTGTGTGTGTGTGTGTTTATGTGTTGTGTAGTGTGTGTTTATATGTTTGCGTGTTCTTTCTTACTTTCTTTTCTTCTTACTTAATCTTTTGTTTTGGAAATGGAATTTTTATTTGATAAGTGATACTGAGTGGAGTAATAAGCGTTATCGAGGAACTTAAAGAGGTTAGTGATTAAGATCGTGATTAAGACTGTCTGATAAAGAGAATGACGGCGATCTGATGAAGACGGGGAAGAGGGAGAGTAATAAATGATAAAGAGATAAGGAATATAAAAATGGAAAGAGATATGACGGCAGGCTGAAGATAAAGAGAGGGAGAGAGATGAAGTAAAACTAAAATTGAAAATAAAAGATAAAAGAAGTATATTTACGAAGGTGGGAATGAGTGTAAAAGATATACAGAGAAATGAAATAATAAAAAAAAGGATAAAAACGTGGGAAATGGAAGCATTAGTTACAGCTGTAAAGGAAGAAGCAGAGGAAAAAGTTTAAGTACATGAAGTTTCTCTTGAAAGGAAAATGTTTAATACCTGACATTCCTGGGGGGGGGGGGTTATGGGGGAGGGGAAGGGAAGAGGAAAGAAGCAATGGGGGAAGGGAACTGGGTTATGGGGGAAGGGGAGAGGGGGGAATGGGTTATGGGGGAGGGGGAGACTGGTTATGGGGAGGGGAGGGAGCAATGGGGGGGGGAGACTGGGTTATGGGGAGGAAGAGGAAAAGAAGCAATGGGGAGAGGGGGAGACTGGGTTATGGGGAGGGGGAAGGAA